GGATCGGGGGCTAAGTGTGAGAGGGGGGGGCAGAGGGAGAGGGAGAGGGAGAGGGAGAGGGAGAAGGAGAAGGTGAAGGAGAAGGAGAAGGAGAAGAACAAGAACTCTCAAAGTTGGATGAGAAAGGATGGGATAAGGGGAGGAGCTGGGGAATAAAGATGTTGAAAATACATTTATAATACTCTTTGTTTGTTTGTTTTCAAGGCAGATTTTATCTGTGCAGGCCTAGCTGTCCTGGAACTCACTGTGTAGATGAGGCTAGCCTCAAACTCAAGACATCCACCTGCCTCTGCTCTCAAGTGCTAGAACTAAAGCTGTGTACCCCGACACCTGGCTCATTTATGAAACTCTTAAAGAATTAATAAAAATATTACAAAAAGGGAAGCAGACCCCTGACTGTGACAAAAGGGTTAGCAACCCCTCTCCTCTCAAAGTACAAACCTGAATAGAACTGTCAAACATCAGTTCCACACAAACTATTTCCAGGGACTAGGAAACAGCAACCAAAGGCAAATAAAAATTTTGAGAAGTATAGTTTAAGATAAGTTAAAGGATTTTGAATTAAAAACAGGAAATCTTGCAGCTTTCTTGCTTAGGAATACTTCACATCCCCTGTACCAGATCCTGGCTTCTGTCACTGGTGGCTTTGACAGAGCCCACCCTCTGGCCATAAGAAGCAGCAGCTGTGCTGCCAGGGGGGCTGTGATGATCCTGGCCATTGTTGAGAAGCACTGTCAATACCAATCACAAAACCAGATCTAAAGACGGAGCTCTCCAGCTCTGGGGTCGGAGGCTGCAGTTCCAGAGGAGGCAAGCACCTGGTAAGGCAAACACTGTAACACAGAGACCCTGAAGTGGAGGCAGTTACAGGAGGGAAGGGTGTGTATGTGTCTGTGTGTGCAGGTTCCACAGGCATCGAAGGTTGACAGGACACAAGGCCTGCCAGGAAATGAAAGTCAAGATTGACTTGAATAGGATCTTAAGTTTGAGAGTACTTCACCCATATATTAGCCAGTGGCAAAAAAGGGAGGCTATATACCACAGAGTCTATGGGCTCGAGGTGTTGAACACAATCTCTGTCAACCTGTAAACTATACAGACATACCTGTGTCATTCTGAGAAAGGCAGGCAAAACTGTTTTAAATGAAAATAAAGATCCAGACACAGGGACAGACACAGACACAGGGACAGAAATTATAAGTATAATTTCACCCTTTTGGGAGACTGAGTCAGGAAGATCATGAGGCCCACCAGACTGAGTAGCACAGTGAGACTTTATCTCAAAACAAACCAAAACCAACAGCAAAAATAGAATCAAAAGGAAAAATAACAGACATATCAGTGGTTATACTCAGAGGGGAGACCAATTCTGAAAACAAAGTCCAGGATAGTTACTAAGCCAAACAGAAATAACAACAACAATAGCAAACAAACAAACAAAAAAACAAAAACAAAAAAACAAAAACAAAAAAAAAAACAGAGGAAGCTATCAGAATCTGGGATTACTATAATATGTTGTCCAAAGTGTCCAGTTTTCAAAGAAATTTATGACACACATGAAGAAACCACATAGAATGATTCGTTTAAAAATAGGTATGAACTCGGAGTGGACCAAGTTATTGGATTTGCAGAGAATTCAAACTATACAGCTATGTATACAGATATAAAATATGTTTACAGAATTAAATGGGAAGTGATGGTGATGACTCTGCAAACAGTAGTGTCATTAAAGGGAGAGAAAGCTCACGAAGAAGCCTACGGAAATGCTGCACTCACTGTGCAACACCAGAAAGAGATCTGCCTGGTAAGTTCATCAACAGAATTGAGACTACAGGAGAAAGAATCAGTGGATTTGAAGACATGTTAAAAGAAATATTCACTTTGAAAAACAGAAGGAGAAAACTGTGAAGAAAATGAGCCTCACCTAGTGGGCAGACTCGACTACAGCAACATACATGTAGTAGGAATCGGAAGACAGAAGAAAAGACTACACTAAATATTAAAAAAGAGGTTGGCTGAAAATCCATAAACTTTGGTGACATGTAACAGTGTCACAGTCAAATGGCTGAGCCCAAAACCAAGAAAATCTTAAATACTTAAACAGGAACTACAACTACAGAGGAAAGCTTCCCAAAGGAATACAAGAGATGGAAGAGAAGGCATTGAAGACATGATAGAAGTAATGGATACATCATTCAAAGAAAATGTTAAATCCAAAAGATTCTTGACACACAATATCCAGGAAATGTGGGACATAATGAAAATGTCAAAGCTAAGAATAATAGGAATAGAAGAAGGAGAAGAAACCTAGCTCAAAGTTCCAGAAAATGTCTTCAACAAAGTCATAGAAGAAAACTTTCCTTACCTAAAGAAGGATATGACTATAAAGGTACAAGAAGCAAATGGAAAGCCAAATTGATTGGAC